GAAAGTTAGGTAAGCGCAATGAAAAACAAAATTCATGTTGTGATTTATCACACGTCTCGTCTCGAAATTATGCACGTTTAGTTTTTCGCTATGGCATCGCACAACAATCGACATCCAATCTGCGTTCATCATTACTTTCGCCTATCAGGTGGAGGCTTTCTTACGCGGCTGCAGACGCCGCACATGAACCTGAATAACTTTTCCAGGAACGCGTCCGTAAGACAGACGCACGAGACGTGCGCGTTAATGATGAGCATTTTGTAACATTGCGCGAAACAGACGGAAAAAACACGCACGTAGCACCACCGAGATAACAATCGGCTATTAATTAAGCCGAAATAATTATAGCGCGTATGATTCATTAAAAATTTCATACGAAATCTCAACTGAAGAGTGTGTTTAATGCACATGCGCGGTAGCACACATCCGTTGCATCACTATAGGCAACACAATATCCATGCACTGTGATTAGGTTGACATAAATCAGCGACTTACGTCTTTTCGTGGTCTCGCATTTTATCCGGTTGTGCCTTATGCTGAATTTATCGCTATATGTGTGTGTTGGAAGCTATTATCGGTTGATGTGCGTGAACATAATCCGAGCGCATTATCTCGTATTCAACGCGTCACTTAGTAGCGTTCGTGTACAGCGATTATTCGCATATCTTCCAACCAACACATGCACGAAATGGAAAAGCAACTGCGAGAGATTCGCACGAAATGAGATATACTCGCGGCTTAAGCTCTTCCGTGCGCTTTTTTCATCGTTTTCACGTATTGTAATGTGTGTGCGTTGGATGCACCAACGCTGTAAATGATGTAAATTTAATTAAGTCAGACGAATGTTTTCTCATTCGAAATTAGCAATATCAATCAAATATAACCATTATGATATTACTAATATTACCGATGTTGCGAAAGTGTAAAATAACGCGAAGCGGCATCGTAAATCTGTTAAGTTACGCAGAAGAAAGTGAGAAATGTCAACAGTGCACATGTGTGAAACAATAGAGAACCAAGAATAACTGTAAATTTACAATAGATAAACAGCAAATCTTTAACTATTCATTACTTTTCCGACAGTTATATGTAATTTCCGAGAAAAGGTTTTTGTTTTAAGTTTGTAAATGTGCAACACGTGCACATTACCAGTGAGATGCCAGGGTTGGACAAATCAGCATGATATTAGTTACATGGTGAACTGGTGATCATGGTCCATGAAGAGTTTCGATCGGCGATCGGATGGTATCGGTAGCACGAAGGAAATTAATCTAAATTACGGACGTTCAGGATGCGGCGTCCGATTGCGTCTGCAATCGTAGATTTGTGGAATTGCCGCCATCGGACGAGAACGCATCGGCGATATGCTCTTCTCCGCCAATGTCGGGGCGTCGGTCGAATAGATTTGTGCTCGGAAGTCAACATGGCAAATGGCGCTACAAATCGTCGCACGTACGCGCAGATGCGCATTCAAGTAGAGCGAAGAATTAATACCCAGCATGAGTACACATTCTTGTACATCCACTTGCACTTGCACCAGATAGGAATTTCTCGCGATTCGGCTTCAATGCAAGCCAGCATTTCTTCGGAAAGTGAAACACCGGTGATAAATGTATTTTCGGGCAGCAATCGCATGATTTATTCGGTGTCTACGTTAAAACCACAATAAATTAAGGTGGATAATTAAGTTTCATACTAGAGTAAGAATTTCTGTTAAATGTACAGCGGGCGCAATTAAAATTTCAAGAATCACATGCCCAAACGCACAGACGGCACTTTAATAAAGTCATATGTTTTTACATATCGCGCCTATTTGTATTTCTGCTGGTTCGTATCTCCTGACTTCGCACATCTTCACCATCGTTTCTTTCTTTGCATGGCGGCGCACTCGTCGGCCATATATGCAAAAAAGCTGATATGCGTAGATGTTCACATAAACATTCGCGATATGCGGCTTTATGCGCGCGATGGTCACCGTAGATTGATAGAGCAGTCAGATTCAAATGTTAATCGGGCAATCTGATACTACGCTGGTGCTTTATTTTTAATGCGTTTTTCATGCACGGTGAATTTTTACAAATATCTGAAATTTTTACATCTTTATTTGCCGCCTTTCGATAACAATCTGCGGCAAAATTTGTTCATTATATAAATATAAACCAGTATCTTTGAGTTCGTACACATGTTCCTCGAATAGTTTTAGCACCAATCGCCCGCGGTCTGCTCGTTTAATTAACCACCACGCTGCATTTGCTTAGGTTTTATCACATTTTTCATGTTTCAGCCTAACGCACACGCATTTCAACTTTGAGGATTCGTCTGACATGCGACATGCCAGTTAATTTACAAAGTATGTACCTGTTTGCGCAAACAATTAGCATGGGACGCAGCTCATTGAGATGCACCACGCATTATAACATTATAAACTCGCGTCTTGTCGCGCCACGGTACAAACTTGTCGACGCCCAAATGCGTGTGTGCTTGTATAGCGTCTACAAGGCGTTTGCACAGCTTTTAGTAAGTACCACACCAGCCCAAGCGTCCCAAGAAGTATAAAAAACAAACGGGCGAATGTTGCATGTTTGTTTTATCTTTCGCTTTTCGTCCAGCGGAGCGAGCGCGCGCGCGACAGAAAGCTTGTTAGATGCGATGTTAGAGTGAATGTGTTAGAATAACGAGACGCCGATGGCCGACAACCTTACCAAGGACATGCGAGGCATTTCGCACTTACATAAAAAGCACTCGCTCGATCGGTGCGATCATGCGATGCACCCACACGTCGTAATTTAATTGATAAATACGAGACTTTAAAACCTTTACACGTTCGCCCAGGCCGCAATAAAAAAAGCCGCAATCATGTTCAAATTCAAATCAAAAAGTCAACAACATGCACCCGGTGAACGCATTTGCATTCGAAAAGATACCATATAACTATCGATTCTATTAAAATCATTGATGTATGAATGTGTGTGTGTGCAAACAGTAGAAAATATTTGAATTAGAGAACACTTGGCGTTTCTCGCTTTGTACATCTCTGCGAGCGGTGTATTAGTGTATGCTTGTTCGATCTGACGGTAACAGTTTGTACACACAGTGTGCGCAGAGATGAAAAGTTCATTTAATAACGTCCGATTTTCAACGCGGAATCAACGCAGTCGGTAGCAATTGTTTTAAAAGCCATTATGGAACGCGCGCGCCGCGGTATTAAAATTCTTCCGTTCGTGTGTGTGTGCACGGCGGTTGAAATTTAAAACAAATAATATTAAAACGGAACTCGGGATTAAACATATTACACATATTACCTACGAACCCGCTTCTCTCGAAAGTGGATGGAATTTTGCAAATGCATTCCGGGCAAAGTAAACGAAAAAATGTTTAAATTTGATTTTTCGCCTAAAATAATTTCCTAGTAATTTCTAAAGTTTTACTAATGTGATATGTTTGCAACAGAAGCCTCCGGTTATATTTGATCTATAATTTATGCACATTATTCAAATTAAAACGCAGGTTTCGAAATGTTTCGCCAGAAATGAATATTGTACCTATCAAACCTCAATATTTGTGCGCGTAATAGTTGCGCTCCCTTTGTGCGCGCCCCATGCGAGTGGGATTATAATTTGTCAAAATGTTGTTACGCACGCCGTTGTCGTTTTAATGCGTGGACGCTGATTGGAAATTTGCAATTCAACACGTCCCGGCTGAGCGAGGGTTCGCGCGTCGTCGGGGCATCGTGATTACATTAGCGCGCCGCGTAAATTACCGCCCGATAGATATTGTTGTTGCGTTATTGTTGTGCCAATCGCTCGCCCTGAGCGGCACCCGACGCGATGAATGCGAATCGAACCCATCGGCACAGGCAGCCAGCCCGATGTGGGACTTGCAGCGGGCGCTTGCTTGATTGTTTATCCTGCTGCGAATGCAAATGCGCCGGATTCGCAATGGAGATCTCAACGAACATCAACGCCATCACAAATTATTATTTGCATGCAGCAGTCCAAAAATAACAGCATATCTCTATAGACAAACAGTCTCGCCTTTCACTTTCATGGATAAAATATAATTTAACATTAGAATCGATAAAACTAACATTGGCCCATTATGAAGCAGAAAAAACAGCGCAAACTCTTGCACTCTATGAGCGTACGCATCGTGCGCGGATAGATTACATCCGAAGTTCAAGGAACTCGAAATGCATTTATATAATAGCCCATCCGCGTGGTAGCATCGCATCACGTCGAAGCGGAAAGCAGAAAAGTGTATTCCGCTCGGCGCGAGAGTACAACTTGCACATAACTCAACAATGCGCGCGCGCTACCAAGAGAAGCGCCGCCGTTCGGAATCATCTGGACGAAACGGACGCTGACCACCGTCGCCATTGTGTGACGGCGTCTTCAGCGAATCGAAAAATGTTAGGTTTCGAATTTCAGCTAAGGCCACGTAGACACACACAAGCACAGCGCGAGCAAGAAATTACACCGCAAAACTTTTCCTTTCAGATCACAAGCTAGTTATTTTCTAACACACAAAAAAGCCGCTATAAGAAAATTTACGGGTACGTAACGATAGTGTTTGCAAGAGATAAATTGGTAGCAAAATTATTGAAAGGGTGTAGGGTGTGATTATACGCCGAGATAAATTTGTCTCAGCCGTGTGCGCAAATCTGCACAGGAAGTAGTAAAACAAGCGCGCGTGTGACGTAAGTTGAGTTACGTCGTCGGCGCCGACATTGACATTGCGCCATGGCCGAGCAACAAATGCCAATGCCGCTTCCACCTGCCGATGGAAGAGCTCACCACGACGATGGTACCACTACTCGCGACCCCACCGCCGCAACGCAAAGAAGAGGATCCTTCTTCTCTTGCCTACGCTCGTGTGACTGCCACATGAATGCCCTTCTGACAGAGTCTGGCTATGTGTGTGTAAGTGTGCAAAGTGTGGAAGAAGAAGAAGAGGCGCGCACCAGCTCCGCGAAGAGGAAAAGAAGCAGTTCGTCGTTCGACGAGGCATTTCTATCGCGGTTGTGACCGTGAACGCAACAGAAGCGCACACCGCACCGTCGCACACGCAACGCGAGAGAGTACCACCAGCCAACCTAGACATTCAAGTACAAGTAGTAGCTGAAAGTTAAGTCTCCTCCGCACACACGAGCGGCGAAGAGACAAGGCCAAGGACAGCGCTGCTATTGCGATTTTCATCACGCAGGCACGTCAAGTGTGTGTGTACGCCAAACGCGGTGTCGAAGAAAAACGGTAGTGTGCACAGTGTGACGAATAGTTTTCACATTTTGCATCTCGTTGCGCGGACGCGTGCACGAGATAATCGGGAGTTGCGCGCGCGCAGAGATTCATCAAGAAAGAGACTGTTCGCGCCTCGTTTCGATACCAATCGAGCGCGGAGACATCGCCACCGCAGAGAGATCCGACAACGCTTCTTCAACTCGTCAAAGTTGTGCACGCAGCGCGGAAAGCAGCAGGTAGGTGCAATGATCCGGCGAGAGTGACAAGACTCGCTTTTTTCCTCATCGCCAACCGCAAGCACACACATTACGCCACATAAAAACCGCTCAATAGTGCGCAAAGTATCCAGCGAGATAAAAATTAAAATTGAAAAAATAAATTTTGGTGGCAGCGCCAATTGAACCATGGGCCATATAAGTTTTTGTTAAAGATTGACCGCAGTCAATGAATGGAAAAAAGTAAAAAAAAGCTATGCACACATAAATATCTGCTTGCTTTTATCTCGCAAGCAAGGAGTTGCTACCTTTGCAGGCGCCCTTGTTCGCTTGGGCCAAAAAAACTTATAAATCACCGCTTAAAAGATGTTTATCGCTGTTACATCTTAATAAACCCAAAGTCGCGCCGTAATGCGTGCGTACTACAAGCAGCTAAACTGAGAGGGCATCCGACATACGTTTTACGGCCGTAAGTTATGCGTAATAGCGCCGGCGAAAAGCCGGAAACGACGAAAACCAACAAATTCCGTGCAAATCGTCCGGCTGGCGAATTAATTGTTGATGAAATGTTTCGCACCGGATATCTTTACAACTAACGAGCCCAGGGGTCAAAAAACTTTTATTCCTCTTGATCAAATAAAATTTCCAACAGGCGGAAGAAACAATGGATTTAATTAACATTTTTTTTATAAAAGTTATTAGTTATTTCAAGAAACTCTACTTTCTTTACTTAACCGTTACATAAACGGGTAATAAATACAAGTGCAGTTCACGGGTCATTGTTAGAGGCAAACAAAATTTGTGCGAAATTATAGTGTAATTAAATCGCGCCAAGACGGAACTATCCTGCGGGCCGCATTGACCTCTCGCGGAAGCTAATGTACGCACACGGGAGGCGCGATGTCGACGACGTTAAACGAGAATCAAAAGCTGCAAGCGCGCAGCGCGCATCACTTCGCGAATATATCGAAAACCGGCTCGCTAAACGCCGCGGCGGTTCGTCAGCGCGCGTATTAATGCCTCAATGAAAGTGAGTTCCGCATGTCACTTTACATAATTGGCTGCGGACTGCCACAGGGCATTATGTAATATAAAACATGACACAACGAGCACAACTGCACGAGAACACTACAAATCATGAAATTGGAATATCACCAGCGGTTGTTCATTTTTTCTGTCAGTCGCTGGGAAAAATCCACAAAAGCAACAGTAATTAAATTTCCAGGTTTGAATATAATTAAATATAAAATATATAATTACTGGTGGAAGATTTAAGTAAACAATGCGTTGAAATGGCAAAAAATCCGTTTGTTATCCTGATGAAATTTTCGGCGGCGAGAAAAAATAATTCACGATTATTAATTACATTACGCCCGGAGTAAAATGCAAGTGAAGTTCACGGCGGCGCACAACGGCACTTTGCATCTTTCGCACGTCACAGGATGACACAACTTCATCGCGCCCGACCGTTATAAATGTATTACACATTATACTAATAATGATGATCATTTTTATCTGCATTCGTTTGCTTTCGTTCGCTAATTATTAGGCGGCTTCACACGCCTTCCGCGCGTCCGCGGTTCATCTTGCTTCATTTATACCGAAGGCGATACGAATCGCGTGCACAAGTTACGTCGTGTGACGCTTGAATGTTGAAAGGCTCGGGACCGAAAGCATTGTTTTCGAAATTAATGCGCGCCCGCTATCTGCGAGCATCAACACGTTACGCCCGCCGATAGTTTTGATCGCTAATTTGCGAGATAAACAACACAATGCGAAAATACAGTTTTTTTTTTGTTATTTGAAAAGATTTTCAGAAAAATACGTTGCGGTAATAGCGGTAAATAGAAGAAATATATTTCTGTACTTGTGCGACACACTTTTTTATTTGGGTGCGTTTGATATTTAATAAAATAAAGTGTTTGTACAATCGCGTTTTTTCTCGTCGCGATTTTGTCGTCCCGAGCAGAAGAAAACGTTTGATGTCTGCTGTTTTTACTTTATACGGAGCCCGGGCGCGCTCGTGCGCGGCTCCTCTGATTGCTATCCATCACATGATGGATGCACGCGGAAAAGCGTGCGCGCCTCCACCCCCGCAAAACAAACGACGTATGCCCGCGAAACGAAACGAGTTTAAAAGCGAAACGCTTCTTTCTTCCTCCATTCCGCGCGTTTATTTAACGCTTTGAGTTAGCTCCGAGCCGGGATTCGAAATGTAGTTCGCGGTTCTGATCGCCGCCATCGCCAACAAAGAGGAAGACGAGCGCAATACACACACACATACACACACACGCGGACAAAACGAGCAAACACATTTATTAACATCGAATATCGTTATCTTAATTACTTTAAGCCTGGTAGCTTTTCAATACTCGCGGCTATTGAATTACAGTTACGGCCGGACAAACTTGGCGCGCACACACGTTCTCACACCGCCGCCGCCGCGGTGAGATCGTTACCGGGCCCTGCGAAAACCTTCGACCATCATATCTCGCCAACACTCTAATTGTATCCCGCGCACGACGTGTGTGCGCGCTCACTAATTATATTTTAGTGCGATGCGGCGCGCGAGAGCGCTGAAAACAACAACGGAGGACGCCATGGACAAATGAACGCCTGCCATAATTCCTCGCGTCCGATTCGCGAGATTATCGCTGGAGTTAAACTTTATTTCAGTCGCGAGCGCAACACCGACGATGTAGGTAATGACTCCACTGATGATAATTAAACTTATTGCCTGGGGTAAACCAACAAACTTGAAGGCAGCAGCGATCATTAAATTCAATCTTTGATTATGAAAAGACAAAAAATAATTCTATATCACATTTTTTTGGCGCAACATTGCGAATTTTAGATTTTTTACAGGCAAAAAATATTTCTCTCGCTACGCATCACGCTTGATTCGGTCAATTTTTCATGATTAGTCGCCGTCACCGCCGTCATGTGATTGCATCAAATTTGCAATCGCGAGAGCCCGGCTCTATAATGCCGCCTCGAGGCGAGAAAACAATTTGCGATTATGCATCTCGCGAACGTAATATTTCTGCGCGGTGAAATGCTTACAGTTACACTTTTATTCCGCATCTACAATTTCAATTGCAATTTTTGTTGTTGTTTTCTACTTTTTGATTCGTTCGAAAACTTTATTAATATTTGTAGTCGTGCGTGAATTTCGCTGCGGACCGCGGAATTTCGTGATTAGTTCCGGGGTGAGCGCGCGTGATATTTTTGGTGCGCTAACAAGTAGATAATCACTTTGTTTTGCGCCAGCTGTGGAGACAATGCGGGCAACAACGAATGCATGCGCTGAAATTTGGAAAAACGCATAAATCGCTCGTCCATTTGACGGATAATTCAATAACGCACGCATACTCCAGCTCGCAATTCTATTTAGGCAGAGGCACAGAGCGCACAAACAAAAAATAGTGGCAAATATGTGCGATGTGTGTTAGTGTCAAATGTTAACGCTTTTCCATTTTGCGTTCGAACGCGTATATTTCATTTCGACGCTCGCGCATTGTCACATCATCAATACAATATTGCATTTATATTTCATGTCGTCACACACACACGCGAACACAAGTCGTATTTCGCATCGGCATGTAAACTATCTCTTTCGGTAACCGGCAATATTCACATCGCGCAAGAATGACGAATGACAATGCCGAAATACCGAATGCATTCCGAATTTACATAAACATTTTCATTTCATGCTCGTGTTTTTCCCAATTGGCACATTTTCAATTTCTTTCGGTCGACACATCGAGAGAATGATTGTGGATGTCAAGCAAGCTGTTAATTAAAACACGCGACGACAAATTAAGCATTCGTAAATATATTATCAAGTCATCATAAAAACGGTTAATTATGCAAAGTTCCACAGCTCGGCCGCTATTGGTATTAACTTTGTATTTAATTTGCAACCGAACGCGATTAAACGGTTTTTCAATCAATTCAAACGTGTGAAACGCTTCGCAGAATAAACAAACACCCAATAAACATAGCAAAGGTCTTTTTAAATTAAAATTCGCGCATAAAATATCGCTTAGTTGAACGGAAAAGCAAACGAGTCATCACTTTGGAATTAATACAGCTAAAGCTGTTGGTTTATCTTAAATAAATTAAGTATTATGCGTTGGTGTCAATGTCAATGCCTTACGTGTGTGATTCATAAAAGTTGTGCGAATTGTACCATTGACCCCGAGATCGACTTAAACCCTGGGTGTGCATTACAACACACACGACAGAAACGGACATCGCACCGTTATTATTTGCTCAATTCGTATACGGTTATCGTGTTGTAAATATGGCGTGTTTCGTCATAAATAACTTGAAAAAATCTTCGGACCACCCGAATTTTTTTCTTAAGTGGTTCACCATAAACAATGTGCATAAATGAGTAAAAGGTGTTGTCATCGCTGGAATTTAGCTGCATTTGATTGCATGCTATAACACTCGCAATGTGCGTTGACCAAGTGACCTTTTAACTTCTTAACTCGCCGCTCGCTATGTGCGCAATTAGAGTTTTTCCCGTGCGAGTGCAGTGTGAATGCGTCGTCCTCGGTGACCGACCGACGAAGCGTCGAGCGTCCGATTGACCTCGCGCATCCACCACACACAAGTGCCGACGCGACAAACGAACGACATCGTCGACAATTTCTGCGTCGGGCCGGCTCAAAGCGACGATGTGCGTTCGTAGGCAAGTGCGAGTACTACATGCCCACATGTTCGATGTGCGTGCGTGCGTGCGTACGTCTTCGACTTTACTGTTGCCTCAGTGACGGAGGAACTTAATCGCACTATGCGCGTCGCGGCGACGACGAAATACACGGCGGACAGTTAACTCTCAGCGGTTACGCGCATTCCGCAATTGCACACTGCGTTTTCCGCTAAACACACGCCGAGGGATTGAAATCACACATGTGTAAACATAGCCAAAAAACTACAATTAACTTTACAACTCACAACAACAGTGTATTCTCTTTGTTTTGTATTCTATTTGTAGTTTATTTTCCTGCGTTTTGTAGCACACAGCTATTATTAGCTTAACGAGAATCTTTAATTAATTGTTACAATTATGCAACGCCGTAATGCACTAACTGTGCACCGACATTTTTCGCGATTATGCCTGCGATGAGCGATGATGCCGTTAATGATTGTCATTTTTTTTGCTGTTGCACTATATAAAAAATAACTGTGTGTGTTTATTTGTCGCCTACTCGAAAGCACACACAAATGTATTTATGCTCGTTTATCATGTCAATAGGCAGACACATTGGTTCATTGAGTAACTGTAGGTGCGACTATATCAGCTGTAATTAATGATTGCTGATCGTTAATGAATATTAGAACGACGAGTGTGTGTTCCACGAACGAATAACGCTGTTCATACATACACATATTCATGGGGTTAATAGGTTGACTGCACGGCTCTGAAAAATGACTACAAAACTGAAAATTAAAAGTTTTTTATCACCATGTTCGACGAATGCAAACTTTTTTGCGAGCGCGCGAGCGAGAACAGGTACAACAAGCACTGCGCTTTGCTCATAATCTCGATAAATATTAACATGCGATGCCAGCAGCGGAAGAGTGGATAAAAGGAGGAAAAAGTTACAGGTACGGGCGGCGGCAGCAGAGAGAATATTTATCGGTTACACGCGTTTTACGAACATAATTTGCTTATAACGAATAAATATAAAATGAGTTTTTGTAGTGGCGCAAGCTTAGCAGCATGCGCGCTTGTAGCAGTTGTTAAATGCCCGCAGACGGGCAGTGATTTAAATTTTTTTGCATTTTACATGCGGCGCTACTGAAAAGTGGCTATTCAGCGCAATTTATTTAATTACGCCTTGATCGACAGATTATTAATGCGTTTATTTCGAGCCCCGTAAATCGTTCGAAACAAAGACAAAACATGCGCAGTTTTCAATTAGAAATAAAATTCTGCTTTAATCTCGTGCACGGTGGAATGTTTTGATGTAATATTCGATGCGGCCGCAAACGACGAAAAGTCATAAATTTGTCGGTTTGGAAAGAGAAATGCGCCGCGCGCGGAGGAAAGTGCCCGCCCGGCGTTTGCGGAATGTTTAAGCGATATTTACGCGATAAAAGAGGCCAATAAATAACGGATATTGGCCACGGGCTATTGTGCCGCATATAGGAAACAATAACTTCCTATTAAGTGACACCTAAAAAAGCGTGTGGCGGCCACAGCTCGAAAACGAGCCAAAAGTCCCAAACCAAACGCACACAAGCAGAGAAAAATTAAATGCGTCCACATACCATGCCCTACGCAATTCAATAAGAAGCAAACGCACAATATTATCCTCATCTCATGGCTTGGGCATTTTCGGTATTTTCAAGACGAGCAAACAATACGCGAGTTACGACGAAAAGAAAATCCATAAACATATATTTATGATACGTGTATGCTCACGCGGGACGCAGGCACTCGGGTCGCTTTTGGTTTGGCAAATATTGACCGAAAGTCTGACGACGCCGCCGAAGTAGTCCACAAAAGCGAACGCAAAACGCCGCAAAGTGACAAAGCTGAATAAACATCGGGTCTACATCCAGCCAACGTGCTTCGGCATTCCGCACTTTCCTCGAGGCCGGCCGATTATGAATTAATGACGCAACACGCCGAGACGCTCACAATTAGACGGGAGATAATTGTGAAATAATTCGCGGTTACGTCGTGCGTCTAATGTTAGATGACAGAGCGCGCGCTTGGACATATCACGATCATTCGTTGAAAGTACTTACGCATGGCAAAAAGTTAACAACAGTAATCGGAACACATCGCTGCTGCGCGGCGGCGGCGGCACAAATGTGTGCCCACGTGCACGCGGAAGTTATAATTTAATAAAGCAACAAACTAGCAGGTCGCCAGCGTCGTGCGAGTGTGTAATGTGTTTGCTTTGAATCAGCGGCGGCGATTGACAGAGAAAAGTTCAAAAAACTTTCCGGCGACACACAACACGCCTTCTTTTACGGCTGCCTGATTCGTATATTTGTCAAGTTAAACGACAACACAACCAACCAACGACTCCTAACGACACTAATAGCTCTGACAAAATTATTTTTCTCTTTTGCTGGGAACATAAACTCTGGTGTAGGGCACGAAAATAGTGAAAATGAATCGTTTAATTTTAAAAGTAGCACGTACAATGAGAAATAAAGTAAACCACGATAGTAAAAAATAAACATGGCCACGTGAAAACACAAAGAGTCGCACGATGTGGGAAGTTCGATGTCGGAATCGATGCGAAATGGAATAAAACCGAACGAAATGAATCGAAACCGAATGCAATCGAGAGCACACACATACACATATACACATGTATGGCAAAAGCATAGCGTGCACACACCACCACCGAATGGGAATGTGTTACTTTTAATTCCATTAGGAGGTTTGTGTGCTAACAGAGCAACAAAACGCCCGGCGAAAATTCACGACCGCTCCAAAGCTTCGACGCAACCTGCGCGCCGTTGTGCCATAACGTTCAACGCGATTAAAAAGAGTCGTAAAAAAGACGCCGCATAATAGACAAAACAAACAATGACGTTAACATACAGAGAGTTCACCGCAACGCACATACCATCCCAGGTAACCAGCCAGACTAGTAAAGAATAAACAAAAGAACATCAAACTTATTCGAACTTTAAATATCCAAAGAGATGTAATATTGAATAATTTCGTGGGGCAGGCAGAAATTTTATAGAAAAGTTCTTAATTACGGATCGTGTCGGTGGATTCTCGGCATGCGCGCTTGAGTTCCTCGGATCAAATCGGAATTTATCGTAATGCAACAATTGCACATTGTCCGCATCGGCGGCCATAAACGTGCGTATGCATAATCGATGCGCGACGCGGCACAGGCCAGCGCCCGAAGTAGGTAAATTCATTATGCAACCGGAATTTACAAAGTGCAGCAGCATTGCACAAGTAAGCAAGCACCACGGCGCGCAGACATTGGCAATCATATTTCAGAATTGCATGCGCGCGTACGCGCTCGTAAACTCATCGCCATCGCATATGGTGGTGGCCGCCGATAGTTTGACTTTACTAGTTTCTAGATTTATGGTGTTTATTTATAGGCGGCTTTGCTCATATCTTCACCTAACTGGTTTATTAGCATTACAATCAACTAAACCAAATCTTTTGAATATTAATGTAAATTTGAAATTTAATTTTATTCTTTTGGTTATTTTGTGGGCGGATATTTGACCCTCTCTATACACGTTAAATTGAGTACTGCACACATTTGTTATATTATCTTTGATAAATGCCCCGTTTAGCAAGCGCATTCGAGCATTCCGACATCGACACATTCAGCTATCAGCGGTATTATACTGAGCTGTTAGGTGCGATGATTCGATAGAACAATGCGCGCTAATGAACGTGAACGCACATGGATCATGATGGCTGTGGATATAAATATAATCCAGGTGCAGTGTTGTTCACTAAGCGTACATTTTCGTTACGTAAATGATAAAAATTTAAAATGTCCACACAGAAAATTTACTTTTTCGTCAAATATTGTCCTTAACACACCGTAAACCGTAATTATACCGTTAATGAATCATGCACAGTTGAATATTTCAATTTATTACATTTGCCATAAATAGAAAGAGTATAATATAGTTTCACAATTAAACTATTATAGAATGCGGTGCGATAAATCTCATCATTAACGCGACGCACGTCACCCAAAACTAAAAGCCAGCGAATTCCAAACGGTAGATTGACAACTGTGTGCGCCTGCAAACCAGCGCGTGTTTAAATGGCGAATAAATTCCTTTTAATTGTATTACCCACGCTCTCCGGTTGCGATCCATCAACACCCCGCCTAGCCTCGGCAAAGCACACCTACCCAATACCAGCAGTTAATGCAGATATCCCGGATTGTGTCTGGCGATAATGCATCGCACTTATGCGCACTAGGTGCACGCTGTAGTGCCTAGTGCTATTATCCTGCAACGTATAGATCATCATCTGGATTATTTACCAACGTAGCCCGCCCGAATCGCAACAAAACACTATCAACGCGTAATTAAGTCTAGATTTTAATTGGATTTAATCGCCACACGCGCGCAGCCATAAAGTAGGAGCGGGTATAAAATTTAGTGTAAGTTACGGTGCGAGATATCGATTGTTAATGCAGATGCACGATTGTGCAAAAAAGTGATTTAAGAAGCATTTAATGCTCATTGTCGGAATGTTACGTCATAAACCCAATTTATTCTAATTGCTTTGCAGGCGGTGTCCACCGCGCTTCCTAATTGCGTCCAGATCGATCGTTTTGATCATTTTACGCGGTCGCATTAACGGTTATATGCGATCAGTTAAGACTCTGGCCCCGAGACTGCTGCAATCGTGCGATATACTGCGTATGAATCATGAGAAATACCCCAGACGTAAATAATACGTGCGTTGAACTTGCAATGATTGAATGATTGAAACGTTTATGTATGCACCTCAGAAACGAGGCTTCGAGGTGTTGGTGAACGTTGTAGTAGAGTTGGGCTGATTTACTGTGCAAATCGCTTGTGCTCCGTTTCGAAAAACGTGCACAATGCGAAGAATGAGCAGCGAAATGCGCCGGAAAACGTGCATGAAATCGAGTGACATCGGGCACGATCGATGGATTGAAAATTGTTTGAGGAATGCGCAAATAATTCACCCGTCGACACTCGAGAAATTCAATTAAACCGTAATAACAATGTTATTATTGCATTACAGCAGCGAATAAACTAATTTAAATAAAAGTTTACTTTTGAAATGTGAACCAATTAATATGCAATATGTGCAACTATTCAAATATTTAAATTAATTGTCAATTAGCAACGGGCACGTCCGTATAGGCCACAATTCATAGTTCATTGCACATCGCATTTTATGTTGACACATCTCCATATACATATATTTGAATTATGAGCATAACTAGCGTTAAATTAATATATCATTTTAATTAGTTAATTAAAATTTAATATTTCATATGTTTCAGGTACTTCTACGCTTCAATATAATAAATATATAGTTGGTAAGTAAATTTAGACATATGGAAAATGTATAAATTTAATTAATGTTAGAAATAGTGGGTATGAATGTGATTTTTTTCCGACGTTGCCTGGATTTTCATGTCATTGCGGCGTGATCGCGGACAACAATGCGCCGATAAATCCGGTGCCATATGTTTTCGCCATGCATCGCGGTACAGTTAGGCCGAATTTTATGGCGACCTCAGCAACCGCGTGCGCAATGCGAGAAACAATAAGACGCTGCGCTTAAAAACCGCGTGCGCACACAATCTCTCTCGGCCGATAGAAATAAATACGTCCCCGACGCTTCTTTTAGCGCAACGATCGCTTTCCACGCATCCGCCAACATTCGAAAAGATTTTGTGTATTTCTACCTTTCCTGTACGTCCGCCAACGTGCAGAAAATGCGAAAGAATGAAACAGAGAATTGCGAAATGCATTATAAGCTCAATAGGTCAGAGCCTTGTCGATGCGATCATAGGGACGAATGGACGGACGGACGTTTGTACAGCGTACACAGCGTAGGTACATGTTTCTGCCTGCCTACTTTGAAAATCATGAGCGGCGCGGAATCAAACATCCTCGTGCACCGTGCACGACCGTAAATTCGATAACGATGTCGCGAGCATGCTGCACGTAGAGTACCAAATTCGATCGCGCAGATTGATCGATTAACCTACTAAAAATTTTCAGCCTCCCGCGCACGACGCGCGACACATTTGACATTGAAGCAGCGCGCACACAGCACAAAGACTTCTTCGTGCATACGATCCGTGTCGAATCAAGAATGCCTGGAGCCGACACGTGATGTTCTCAAATTTACCGATTTTTGCGATACACTTGAAAATCCTATGTGAAGGCGCCGGGCAACCGGTTAAAAATTTAAAAATTAACTTAAAAATCAATTCAGTTTTGATAGACGCACAAAAGCCATGATAATGTCAGTGGATTTATTAATCAAAATAGGCAGCGCAGACGAAATCTCACCGACAATCAGTAAATGAAAAAGAAATCTACTGCGTATACGCCCGGCAGCCATGTAACAACATTAAAGATTCCCGTCCGGTTGTTGTCGACAAGCTCGTGCATACGCTCGCCTCGTTTGCATAATCGGAATTATTTTCCCATGGCTGGAACGAGCGTCTCCTTATGACTACATTATCATCAACTGGATGCGCGTTTCATTCATACGTACGCAAGTGCGGCGAGGAATCACGACTGACGGGGTGATGAAATGCGCGCCGCGCGGAAAAAGCGTATCCAATACTGATGTCGCATGGATGGATTTACAATTGGCGCAACGCGGAAACAGATCGCTTAGCTCGCTAGCGTGTATATCGTCGGGCGGTGATCTCCGCTTCGACACCGTGCCGACGCGGCGGTTATTTATTAAAGTGCCTTCGATTCTTTACGACGCGTGACTTTACCTGCTACCAAACAGCACACCAAATGATATTAGCTACGTTTTGGTTACACCTTCATGGCGCTGGTGATCCATTCATGTTTCACGTTCGGCGCTCACATTTAACGACGGTTGTAAAATTGTAAAATATGCGGACATTTCTTGCAATAAATTTACTTTTAAAGAAAAATCAGAAAATATAAATTATTGTAAGCAAAAAATAGATATAAAATAAACGGTCTAGTTCTCACGTCGTCTTCTTGCATTTTGGCGCATACTAAATTGTGCAACGCAACAATTTCAGCCTGTGGTCGCATTGTCACTAAAATCAAAGCCAGCGCGCACTGAAGGAATGCGAACATGCAACTCATTAGTCGAAAAATAATTATTTCGCATGCACTACGTCGCGCCTGGCCGACCGGCACCAGCGACAACGACGAATGCATAATTAAACAAGTTTTACATGTTCGGGCCACCACAAATGTAGAGCACATCCTTAGACACACATACTACACATCGGCACAAGCGTGTGAAACGCGCGCGCAAGAAATTATTCAGATGCAAAAATGCGCGTGCATCGACGGACAGACGAGTAAAACAAACCGACGAGTCATAAACACGCATTCATTCATTACTTAACAAAAATTGTCGCCCAAAGAAAATACTTACAGAAACTTCATAGTAACGTTCGAAAGGAGGAAATGAAACATCGGAACATACCTGCAAAACAAAGCAAAGTAAGCATCAGACCCACAATTATTACTTATTACAAACTATTTGCGTTGGTTTACGACTTGGTGTGAGCGCGCACAAGGAAATAAATCAGCACCGACAATACCAGTTTGGTCCGTTGGAATAGAATCAAAGTGCCATCGGCGCTCTGACGACCAATTGAAAAGCATGCAATTAATGTTACGATAAATAAGCAAGACAATTGATTAACAAAATTTATGAGCGATTGATGTTCCTCTCTCGCAAATATTCCTCTCTCCACCACGACGAGCATACGAGATATAATTTGTCAATGCGACTTTACGGTATATGATGCAACCGGCGCCATAGCGGGAAAAGGTGATAAGAAGCGTGGAACACCCAGCGCGAATCATAATCAAACAACAAACCAACAATTTATTCCATACTATTAGAATTCGAAATATCGCAAACGCTTATCATTCTTATTAGTACGCACAGCGAATATCGCGTAATCTTGTTCGTGCGACGCGCAGTAGCTGGAAACTGGGAGAAAAACTCCCGCGACTGACGGCATAAATTACGGACGCACGCCGAGCGCAGAAATATGCGCGAATTAATATCGATATTATATAGATGTTGCAATAATAATGGATTGTGGTATGCAAAACAGTGGACCGTTAGCGCGGCCGCGGTTATTATGATAAATGCGGAACGCCAACCGCACCAGAGAAGCGCTCAGCCACCAAAGACGTCCGGAGATGAAAACAGAAATAAATAATAATCGCGGCCGGACAATCATCATCATCGTCGGCATGGTCGACATAGTCAACATATTTATATAAGCTGCACTGGGAGGAACGAGTATGTGCTGGTAGGATTCGCACAGAGAAACAAAATCCAGTCAAGTCGCTATCCGAGTCATAAAGTAACCGGATGGGTTCGGCCCAAGGAAGATAATGTCGAAAGTAATAGTAATGGCACCGGTGGTCGTTTCGATTGTTACAACAATTGTGCTTCGTCTGGCGAGATAGCAAAACACTAATTGTTAATTAATTTGCATCGGCATACCACATGTTCTAGAACAGTTTTCAAAATCTCACAAAAACCATCAAATATCAAACATTAATCAAAGTATTATTTTATTAAAGAATTTAAGAATATGCGTTGTATTCACACCTTAAAACTGTGATTAGACTTTGTAATGTATTTGCCCGTGGTATTGATGATATGCCCACAACAAGTATGGACTGCAACTGATGCAAATGACGAAACGGTTACCACGCAATAAAGATCATCGGAATTAGAATTGCACCTAAAGCGCAATAGCGATACGGCGATTGTCGTATTGCACACGTGTGCGATGCCCTCTCATTCCCACAATTAATTGTATTTCTAGGTGGTCAGGCAATTACAGAAGGGCAATGATTAGTTTGCTCAGCGCGCGTGCGCACACAATGATTTTCTACGACCATTGGAGATATGGTCGCGCATTTATTTGCCACACACGGTCTGACATGCGCGACCAACTCGGCCAAGCCTAAGTTGCACCGATTGGCAAATGTAGTCTCAAGAGATTAACAGATTTTTAAGCATCTTGAAGTTCTTTTTGGCCCCGCGATGAGAATTTACTAGCCAAGCGATTTTAACCGGCTATTTAGAAAATGGAATCTTATCGATTTCCATCCACGAGTAAATGGGATACCGATAGCTCCTCTCCTCTCGTTTGCCTGTGTGTGTGTGTGGAGTAAGAGTGTGTACCTGGCTGGTCTTGCTGGAGGCATCGGGGTAATTTTAAAGTAATGAAAAAAGAAGCGCTCATGATGAAGAAATTTGTTTTCGCAATGTAACCAAACCGGCGGGCGTCGGTTTCGCAGATTCGCTACACTTTACTACACTTTGTGCGGAGTGTGTGCGGAACGAGAAAAATGATGATTCGACGTCGTGCTCGCTCGGCGAAATAGTAGAGGTGCACGTAGCGAGCGCCGCCCGCCGCCACCACCAGACACCCGGGCCCCGGCGCGCACCATAACGACGGCATGATCGGAAAAGTATGAGGAAACACTTCGGCAAATTGAAAATGGTAATGAGATGGCGTGCGATGCTAATAAATCTTGTTTGGATCGATCCCGCCGCTTGGGCACTCCAAACCTGCACGGCTCTCCCTCGAAAATAACGAATTATCTCATTTTCACCATTAATTCATTTCAATTAAAAAACTGCTAAACATATTCGCAACAAATACCGCGTAACCAGTTTTCCGCCCGGTATAGATTCTTGCGGACGCAATTTCAATTATTCATTGAATCCCTTTTAGGGTTCGAGGAACTGACCACAAGGCTGGCTAAATACTCAACTAAAACACTCCAATTGCAGCAACGGGTTCATCGGCTCGCATTTCGTCCGAATTCAGCGCTGAGCGTTCAAAGCACGAGCTGTAATTGATGAATTATTTCAGCGGCCGTCGGGATATTTATTACCAATTATTTTCACGTGCATCTTCGTCGATGCCGACGACGCCGACGACGACTGCGACTAGGACAGACCATCAAGGAAGTGAAATCCGAATGATTGCCGACTAAAACGATACGCAACACACACAAACACACACACAGCTATTGCAAGTGGAGAGCAAAGACGAATACGCTACTCCTCTCAATAAACGTGTTTAAGAGCGCGGTGGCTTTGCGTTTGTTACCTTCGCTAGTTTTCCGTTGTGCCTTTTAGCAAAGAGTCCTCCTAGTCCAACTTGGATTCGCAACACAATGCCGCCACGACAGCCATCAAAACAGAGTGCGCCGCTTCATCTCCGCATATAAGTCCGCAGACATAAATAGTTCTTTTCATATTGTTCTGTTGCGGCATGCGCGCCCGGATGGGTTTTCAAGCGAAACTGGACAAAAATAATAA